GGGGGGCACTCACCCAGATGTTTTCCACCCAACACCCGACTGACCTAAAGACCGTTCGACCAGAGTCTTTTCACCCCCTATTATTCACCCAAGGTTCGTTCACCCTTGATTTCATCTCACCCATTCCTGAACAATTCGCCCACAAATAAATAAAATACGACAAGTCGACAAGTCTTGCTACCTCCATTTCACAAACAATCGAAAATCGACGCCCGTGAAACTAGCACAGTCTTTGCAAACTATCTTTTACCGTTATGGAGCAAAATATCTGAAAACAGACTACTTTAACGAGTGAGGAAGCAGAAAACATAGAATGAGAAAGTGCCCCAAGCAGAACTCAGAAACAGCTCGTAAATCAGATTTTACTACTTTTGTGGCATACCCTTGAGCTCATGTGCTGAATAATTTTTTTCTGGTCAAAAAGTTATTAAAGATTTAAAGTTACTGTGTGTTTTGTGTTTTCAGTAACTTCTTTCGGTCTTTGTGATTTGTTGTTTTCTTCCCAACTTGCTAGAATGCTCTACTATTGCTCAGTTAGGAGACAGGGGGAGAGGGGAGGCACACCCTTTCGTTCAAAGGTAATCTGTACTAAAAATGTTATTCAAATATTGTGACGATATGTTAAAACCACTGTGAGTAGTAGACGTAAAAGCCGCTTCTGCGTTTGCCTTGTGGCCTTGTGAAAATGTTGCTTTCTTTATGTAAACAAAAATAAATCTGGGTGAAGAGCTCCCTGGTTCAATCATAAACATGGATGAATAAACCGGGGGTGAAATACTTGTGGGTGAATTATATCTGAGCCAAAGTTACCCTCAGTCAATCGCTCCTGGGTGAGTGGACCTAAATCCCCTATGGGAAATATTTCCATAATCTATTTTGCACTTGATATAGAACATGTTTGCGGTCAGTTTGGACTTAAAAAGATGTTTAGGGAAATCTAATGACCTACGCTCATATATCAGATGACAGGTGAACTGAGACACCGGAAACCTGAATGTGTTCATGGCGCACACTTGAAGGTGTGTAAACTCTACTTGTACACATGGAGGCACACGTGTGTGAATTTCAAAGGAAAATTCACTGCTTTTTTGCGTTAAGTGTACGAATGGGAATTCACACAACTACAAGTGATGGACATTTACACACTTGCGTTCCCATGGCAACACTCTCATCCCGTTACTGATTTTTTGCCACCCTTTGTCAGTACTCATGTTAGGTTTTTGTGCAGCAGGAATACTAACTATAGTTTTTTTATCAGTAATACGCATGAATTCCTGTTTACGTAACTCACAATTTGATCTTCTATTAGTGTAAATTGAGCGAAACTATACGGAAAAATTGACAAATTGATCAGTAATTCCTGCTGTATAGAATTCTACGTTTTAACTGACAAAAACATCAGTACAGGTCTGAGAGTGAGTGGTCAAATAATCGACATCTGACTTTGGGTCGATTTGCGACGCAGAAAGTAATTTGTGTTTCGGCGGCGGCATGGATTGACCGACGCCGCAGTGTCGCCCTTACCTGGTAGAGTCTGCTTCTGCTCCTCGGTGAACTCGGGCAGGAAGGGCTCGTCTCCGTGAGCGAGCTTGAGGGTCTCCTTGACCACGGCCGGGTAGTCGCCGTAGATGAGCGGGTGCAGCAGCAGGCCGACGTCGAACATGTTAGTACGGTCCGAGGCGATGATGTCGTCCCACTCGCTGCTGTTGGGCCTGGCGAGGTAGGAGACGGAGCCGAAGCCCAGGAGGCCGCCCTGCTCTTTCTTGTACTTCTGCTCGTACAGGCGGTAGGCCGTCGCGTGAGCCAGGATCTCGTGGTGGATGCACTTGTATATGTCGGCCACGGTGTGGTTCGCGTCCCGGGTGCCCGGGGGGAAAAGGCCATTGTACACCAGCGTGCAGTGCAAGTTGGCCTCGTTGATGGTCACCCAGTGCTCGATCTGTGCAAAACAGTAAGGCGATAGTTTATTGTACCGCAACAGCAAATACGACACATGTTCGTACATGTACGATATATTTTGTAATTTACCATTTACAAAACGTGTCGAACATGTACAACCTCCAATTCTTGCTCTTCGTTCGATGCCAAGTCGATACGCAGAGCTTGGAAATTATATACAATTTTAAATTGTAATTGTTCGACATTATCCATGAAAAAAAATTCCTGCAGCCGGTATGCCAATGTTTTACAATGCTCCTTGTGTTGTTCATACCTCGCTGCCGTATTCAGAGAAAACAAAGTCCGCGAAGTCCACGTAGGCTTCTACCATCTGCTCGCTCAGCCAGCCCCCGAACTTCGTCTCCAGAGCTTGTGGGTGGTCGAACTGGTAGATGGTGACCTGGAAAACCGGTTCACTTACAGCTTCTGAAAAAGGAAATCGTCTCAGGCGATACCACAGGGACTTACCATTGGTTTCATGTTGTTTGCTTTAATTGTCTTGATCACGTTGTGATAGTGCTGAACACCCTTCTCATTTTTTTCAGCTATGTCGCCGTTAGGGAAAATCCTTGTCCAAGCAATGGAAAAGCGGTAGACGTCGAGCTAAGGCCGAAAATATCGGGGTCGTCAATGCAGTCGCAACGACGTTAAGGTTACGGTAATATTGCAATTCCTACTCACTTTCATCTGGGCGGCGAGTTTGATGTCCTCCTCGTAGCGCTCGTAAGAGTTGCAGGCGATGTCACCCGTCTTGTTAGTGGGGTAATTCCTCTTATGGTACAGGTAGTCGAACACGTTCTCACCCTTCCCTGCAGAAGAGCAGGATGGAGGGTTGTAGCGTTTCATCTCGAGACACTTGGCGTTCAATTGCGCGTACACCAATGTGTGTGTCTCGTCCGATCATGGTACTCACCATCCTTGTTCCAGGCGCCCTCCGTCTGGTAGGAGGCGGTGCCGGCGCCCAAAAGGAAGCTTTTGGGGATCTGGTACTTGGGGTCAGTCTCGGTGACGATCTCCGGGACGTCGTCGGCGCCGGTGGTGTCAAGGTTCAGCGCCCGGCCAGGGCTAGCGGCGACGAGAGCCAGGGCGGCCACGAGGACCAGGGCGGCTGCCGTCGAGCACACCATGGTGGAATCACTTGACAGTTATCAACTGCGGCGTCTGGGTCCTGAGCCCCCGCCAGACAGTGATATAGTCTCAGATGGGCCGCAGCCACCCACACTTGTAACCGACAAGTGGCTGATAAAGCCGCGACGGGCCACTTCGCTATGAACAAGCAGCCGTGACAACCCCTTTTGAAGTTGAAGACGGAGCCTGTTTCCCAGAACTACTATAAATAGTATGTCGGATTGACGTCGGATTGACGTCGTTGAAGTGGTCGAGAAACTGCGGTCGGTCCATGGTGAAGGCATCAGTGAGGGCATCGGCGGCATCGGCTAAGCTCCCATGTACTAGGTGGCTGATTGACCCCTGCACTTCTACAGTTATTGGCTGAGCGATTAGCGAAGCCAATTACCCCACTGACCGGTAGGGTGTGGCTTAGGAAGGCATTTTTCGATTTTGAAAACTCCTTACCTCCTAAATTACTACATTTTCATTGCAGTTTCCGAAAATAATTTCCTTTTTTTTTTCTAGATGATCTTAAAGTTGCAACTTTGCCTCAAAGTTTGAAAAATCGCTATTTTCCCACTTAAACGGAAGTTTTGCCCGGAAATCGACCTAGAGCATTCTACAAACGTCACACCTGTGCCAAATGTTTTCACTTAGGTACAACAAGAAGTTTCCAGCCCCTGTGGGTCATGGTAGTTCAGGGCCAGGGGAATTATACTTCCAAAAAGAGTAAAAACGACCGAAAATGCATCGTAACGTTCCCGATAGTACACTACCAAGCCCAGGATAGGAAGGGTGGTTCACCGGGGATTTTTTTTTTTACGAAAGTATGTGTCACCGAAAATGTGAGGACGGGGTGGGTAAATTTTCAGGGGAGGGATCAGGGGGAGGGGGGTGTAGGTGTACAGGTCTTAGCTTTCTTAAGCGTGATGCTTACTAACCCAGGGCTCACCACGAGGAGGTATCTGTATTCGACTTTGAAAATTGCTACGCAAAGAAAACACGATTCTAAGCAACTTTGGTTCAATAAAAATGTCTCTAAAATGAATATTTACCGAAAAAAGCGCATTTCTGAAAAAGCGAAACCTCTAATATTTTAGCCCCTGGTGCTACCCTTTCTCGATCTCAGATCAATTTGTAAAACAAATGTGATTTTATTTTATTTTTCGAACCTTACCTCGAACTGAGCACCCTACCCTCTTTCAGCCTCGTTTTCGTTTTTGCCGCCTTCAACCCACCCACCCACTATGGCAAGTATGACTATACATTATAATGACTATTTTACATGTGGCCCTTTACACTGCTGCTTCTGTTAAACGTTGACATGGCAGATCTGCTGCGCAGCTGTGCGAGTATCTGCCCCTCTCTTCTCCCTTCCCCTACTACAGTGGCCGAAGCAAGGGTTACATTTCGAACCATTCTGTGAATCATTTTTTCTTCGCGCGTTTTTCGGCCTTGGGTTAGTAAGCATCACGCTTAACAAAGCTATGATCTGTACACCTACTTCCCCCTCCCCCTCATCCCTCTCACCCCTGAAAATCTACCCACCCCGTCCTCACACTTTCGGTGACACATACTTTCGTAAAAAAAAAAAATCCCCGGTGAACCACCCTTCCTATCCTGGGCTTGGTAGTGTACTATCGGGAACGTTACGATGCATTTTCGATCGTTTTTACTCTTTTTCGAAGTATAATTCCCTCGTTCTGGAACAACCATGACCCACAGAGACTGGAAACTTCTTTCTTTACCTACTGAAAACATTTGGCACAGGTGGAATGCTCTGGGTCGATTTCCGTTTAAGTGGGAAAATAGCGATTTTTCTAACTTTGAGGCAAAGTTGCGACCTAAAGATCATGTAGAAAAAAAAATTATTCTCGGAAACTGCACCGAATATGTAGTAATTTAGGAGGTAAGGAGTTTTCAAGATCGAAAAAGGCCTTTTTTTTAACCCACACCCTACTGACCGGGAAAGCTTCATTCTGTTAGTCTTTATGTCTGACCGCACGATAACTAGAGAAGGAATTAAGATAGCGATCTAGGAATTTCAGGGTCGTTTTGTATCATATAAAGACAGACCGAGTTCAAAGATGAGCATTCTCAAAAATTGACCTTTTAATAAAATTATGGGCTCCTGAGGGGTAACTCATCACTGAAGAGATGCCCTCTACTCTGAGTCTCTTCTGAACATGTGGGGTTCGACTGGGTGGGTTTGCACTCGACAACACTTCATGCACCTTATAATATACGGTTTATTTACACTTATAGCTCGCACTTACAGTATAGCATGTTTCTCCCTCGTCCGTCCGTGCGTGTCGCTCGCAGTATCTTCTCGTAGGGAATGGCCCAGAGCCCGGCCGGCGGTGAGCTTATGAACCCCCATGGCGGGGCGGCGTGGGGCGGGAGGGCGACGTGTTTGTCACCCTCCAGCCCCTGGCCACCACACCATCGGTGCGAATCTCCCCTCCGGCCGAACCGTGTACTTTTCCCAAAGATCATAAGATCTTGCTGAGCAACGCACACTCACGCCCCGGCCACATGAGGCCCCCTCCGCATCCGGCTGCCCGCGCGCACACATTTAACACAAATTACACAAATGACAAATATTCTTCGAGCGCGTGGAACACAACATCACAGTTAAGCCGTACAGGCGAAAATTTTGTCCGTTTTGCTGAATCGTGTAAGGGAGGGTGGGGCAGTTAGTGACACTTTTTGGAAATCGAGCTTATTTCGCTTATTTTCGGCCAAATGTTGAGCACGAAAGCTTAGATAGTTTCTTGCAACCTTTGCCGAGGTAATGCAGGTGGTGGTTCGATGAGTTACGAGCCGGTGTGCCATCAAATCGGCTTGAACTGGAGCCCTGCATTTGTCACTATGTACCCCGGCCCGGGGCAGTTAGTGACAGAGGTCGGGCCACTTAGTGGCAACGGTATAAAATTGCATTAAACCTAGTTTTTACTATCTGAAACGATTCTTTTGACTAGATTGATGATAATTACTGAATAGTCTAGTATGAAGGCATGATCAATGGTGTCCAGGTTAAATGGGGGTTGGTCCAAGAAGTGGGATTTTTTTAATTTGTTATTTTCATGGTCTCGTAAGGGGTAACTTGTGAAAGTAGAGCCCTGTGGGCCAAAATTTCGTCCGTTTGGCTCTATCTCTCACCGTTTAGGCGCTAGAGGGCGTTTTACACACAAAACTGGCCCAAAAATAAATATATTAATTCCAGAAAATATTTGATGG